TAGAATATTTTAGAATATATCTAGAGTATTTTAGAATATATCTAGAGTATTTTAGAATATATCTAGAGTATTTTAGAATATATCTAGAGTATTTTAGAATATATCTAGAGTATTTTAGAATATATCTAGAGTATTTTTTGAATATATCTAGAGTATTTTAGAGTATTTAAGAATATAGCTAGAGTTTTTTAGAATCTAGAGTATTTTAGAATCTAGAGTATTTTAGATATAGCTAGAGTATTTTAGAGATTTTCTAGAGTATTTTATGTGGTAGAAAGTATGATTGTGTTGTACTGTATAATTATAGTGATTAATGTAGGTCTATTTATAGTATCACAACCTGCCTTTGATGTTAGTAATGAAATTCTACTGATTATCAGGCAATAAAACAACAAGAGATACTGTCAGTTAGTGTACTAGTCAAACCTGGAAGTGAATGGAGTTTTACATCCTCCTTTTCTATACTTTATAGCATTAAGAGAGATAGGGAGAGCAATGTCATGCAGTGTGCAGTCAGGTAAATATTGACATTAAGCAGCAAATGGAATAGAGTTTAATATTCTTCTATTTAACATCTTATTGGATGAAATAAAGATAAAGACAGCTAACAACCAAAACAACATAATTTTTAGCTTTAAATCCTTTTTCAGACTTCAAATTTTTAAAGCTTTTATCAAATTTTTGAAGCTTTTGTTTTGACGGATCCCTGTTTCTCCAAAATTTCAACCATTAAATTTTGTCACAACTGTGGTGTTTCTCATTGCTAAATTGTATAATTTCAATAAAATTTATTTTAGGAACAGGGGGTAAATTATTGTCCTTGTAATGAAGTAAATACATACAAAAACAGGGTGAAAACCATCAGTCCAAATAAACACAGATAACTTCCAAATTATATGAGAATTTCTAGTTTTAATTCAGGAAGTATTTTAAGTATTTGAAGCCCCAATAAAAACTTTCCGTTAATTCTTTAAAATGGATTATACTATTGGTGATTGTCCAGTACAGTTTATGATCAACCATTGTTGTCTGTATGGTGCATTCTGATTGGCTCCAGTGAGTACGAAAAGCGTAAGTTTTATGAGGATAGCTACAGGTGTTAACTGAAACCAAGCCTGTCGTTATCTGGACAAAATCTTGGTCGTAAAATCTGCAGCACAATCAGGATATTGTCAACTGGATCAATGATAATCGTTAAATACAGGTATGGTCGTCGAGGTGAGGTCATACAGGGGTCGTATATTCAAATTATCATTAAATATGATTTTTAAAACAGCTCAAATAAGTAAACCAAGTACTAACCATACGTCATACAAACTACAAATTAAAACCCGAAATCCTAAAAAACACATTGGTGACACATAAATGAGTATTTCATAATGAAAATTGGAATCAGGTGTCTAGAAGAGTAAGTATACCCTGCCTGGCACAAAACTGCCATATGAGATAGTATATCAATTATAAGTGAGTAAGTATTTCATAATGAAAAGTGGTATCAGGTGTCTAGAAGAGTAAGTATACCACACCCGTCACAATTATCAAACTGAGTTTTACAGGAACTATTTTTTATGTAGGTATACGATGTAATTAAACACTGTTTAGCAGACGGTCTAATTATTGTTATTATCTGATAATTCCTACTCCTAGTCTCAGCAATATATTTTAGTACCGAGTTAAAGAGAGAAAATTTAACAAGGTTAAATCTATTTCCTCCGGTCAGTCTGTTCTGAAAGCTGGGTGAGATTTTTTATGTTTGCAATCTAGTGTCATATAAATACAATGGAGGCATTTGAAGTTAACACTAAGTTGATTCCCACTGGTCATTTTCAAAATATTTAGTATTAGAATCAGATATCTTGAATATTTTTATTTTTTTACTATATTTAATATCTTCTTGAACGTACCCTAATTCAGAATTTGATGCCTTTTCATTAGTCTGTGATGAAAATATGAGAAAGTAAGTTATGAGCTCTGTAGTAATCTGTTCGTAAGAGACAGAGAATAAAGATGAGAGACAGAGAATGAAGATGAGAGACAGAGAATAAAGATGAGAGACAGAGAATGAAGAGAGACAGAGAATGAAGATGAGAGACAAAGAATGAAGATGAGAGACATAGAATAAAGATGATTAAAGTTTCAATATAAAATAGAATGGTAAGAGCTCTGTGTAAGATATATAATAGAGAGAGAGAATGTAAAGAAACCAAATGTTTATAAGATGATTAATAACTACTCTATCAAATATAATATCTCACTAATTAATCAATATTTACTTTCAAGTTAGCTTCACAACAATACATCAATACTTGTGAGTTTGTCATGTTCTGCTTTCTAGCAAAATTAGTCGTAATCTACAAATCTTGCTAGTAGCTTGCCAATTTCTATCCTTTATCAGCTATTTTATTGAGATGAAACTGAGCTGACAGTGCTCTGATCGGCAGTCAAACTGAGCGTATCTACAGTGGCTCTCATATCTTTTAAATCCAGATAGGCCACAATCTTCATTTTACCATACTAATCTTCAATTTTACACCCTCAATCTTCAATTTTACACCCTCAATCTTCAATTTTACACTATCAATCTTCAATTTTACACCCTCAATCTTCAATTTTACACCCTCAATCTTCAATTTTACACCCTCACTATATTGGCAGTGGAAACAGGGCTTTAATGTTGAACTATAATATTTAATTAGTTATAAATCTGACACTTTTCTGATTTCCGTAAAATCTCTGACACAGTTCCACAATAAATATCTCCAAGATTCCCTGATCAATTAGTCATTAGTAGAATTTAGACAGCAAGACGAGCCGAATGGCTATTTATTCCATTTCATAAAAACTTTCAGTGGTCTGGTGATCTTTTATAGAACAGAATTTCTAAGATTTCTGAAATCTTTTCATACTTGTTCTGATTTGGTTTCAATTCAAATTGAACAAGAACAGATTGAAGACTACTAGACTGAAAAGCTTTTAATTTCCATTCCTTAAAAACTGATTTTTTTTCCTGCATTCAAATTTCTTAATTTAAATAAACACATTTCCTGTTTTTGCTTCATTTTTACAGTTTTCAGCCATTTTTTCAAATTTAATTGCATTCATTAGAAACAGTTGGATATTGAAAAATTTTGTGTTCTTATTAATCCCAACTACATTAATAAAAATAAAACATCATCCCTTTCAATTTCTGTATAGTGTTTACTTGGAATTTATCATGATAATAACAAAAAAACACTTTCTCCAACACTTTTAATACTGTCTGGTGAACAGGAACAACAGTCTGGTGAACAGGATCAACTGTCTTGTGAACAACTGTCCTGTGAACAGGATCAACTGTCTTGTGAACAACTGTCATGTGAACAGGATCAACTGTCTTGTGAACAACTGTCCTGTGAACAGGATCAACTGTCTTGTGAACAACTGTCATGTGAACAGGATCAACTGTCTTGTGAACAACTGTCATATGAACAGGATCAACTGTCTTGTGA